GAAGAAAGGAGAAGAAAGGAGAAGAAAGGAGAAGAAAGGAGAAGAAAGGAGAAGAAAGGAGAAGAAAGGAGAAGAAAGGAGAAGAAAGGAGAAGATTGAGACTGGCTTCCCCTCTGAGGTGTCTGTAAGTGGCATGGCAATTGTGCATAAATGATGGCATTTTGCAAAAAGAGCTCGGTGTTTCAATAGTCAAGCAACTAAAACACCTTGCATGCAGTTACTGTGCTCCTGAAGTTCAGCTCCATATCTACCATTGCCACTGCCTCAGAAGTTTTATTATTGCATAGTGTCACGCTGGCGCTGATCTGGCACCCACCCAACTCTTAACTGAAAACAGCGTTTGTGTGAGCCCGAAGCTGGGGAGATGCACGAGGGCCGTGATGCAAGTCTGCAGAAACTCAGCTGTCTGGGCAGAAGCAGCTCATTCATCAGCACCAGCGTAAAGCACAAGAGCCAAGATTTCTGACTTACAAAAGAAAATTATTCTCGTGACAGAGTAAATGATAAATTCCATTAAGTAATTCTTGATCACAATCACTTCTCTCTCAGATTTCTAACCAAGCTTCATTTTTTTTTTCAAATACTATTAAAATAACCGATGTTCATGAGTAACTTCTCATTAAAAAGAACAAGAGACTTCATTTCTGTACCTGCTGAATACTTGTTGTGAAAGAGCAGCAGCAGAGGAGGGCAAGGGCAGACTGGAAAGACACTACTCACCTCAGAAAATACACATTCAAGAACACCAGAGCAACAACAACCGGACAAGAGTGTAGGAAGATACACACATTTGTTTTCATATAAYAGTTTGAAACTCACTAGTAGCAACTGTTTCATGATGAGGAACAAAAGCAACTTCAATTTCATCACCTGTTTAATTAAACCAACAGAACTAATCAAATCAGTGGGGCAAAATAAGGGGGATTAACATATATGTTTTCTTTTGCAGTCAACCTTTGTTCAGATGCTTGAATCTGTAGGCAGGAACACCTAATCATCGCAGCAACCAGATCTGAATTATTCTTCTATAATCCTCTAGCTTCTTAGGATATCGGGGTCAAATCTGAATGTTAAAGCTATGCAACGAGAAAAAAAAATGTGTGCTGGTTTGGAAATTGGGGTTTTCTGGAGATATCTGCTGTTGCTGTATTCCTGCCTCCTAGAGCCATCAGTGCTGCCGGAGGGGCAGGTTTGCCCACCATGCAGCAGCAAAGGCAGGAAACGCCTGCACCTTTGCCTAGGGCAGCAGAGCAGGAGGCCCCTGCTCCGTGTCCCCAGCTGAAACGTCCAGCCGCAGGGACGTCAGGCAGCCGTGCTGGAGAGGCAGCCCTGAAAGCCCTGCAGGCAAACAGAGGCACAGCTGTGCGCGCAGCCCGGGCTGGCACCCGTGGCACAAACACGCCTTCAAACCACCTAGAACAAGGGCTTGTGTGGCCCTCATCTGCCAGGCTGCAGCTCGATGCCATCCCTCACTGTTTAAATAAGCTCCTCGGCTCCGGAGGCGCCTGTGGCCAGCTGCACAAGTGCAGYGGCGAGGCCAGAGCGAGGTGCCGCAGCGGTGCTGCTCTGAGCACCGGCAGAGTCCAGCAGGAGCCCTTGCAGGTGCCCGGCTCCTGGTGCACAGCAGCACATCCCTCCCAAGAGTCCACCTTCCTGGCATCAAACAGTCATAGCAGTTTTCTTAAAATATGCAAATAGGTACCAGACCAATTACCAAAAACAAAAACCTAAATTAACTATTTATAACCTGATCTTTGCTGAGAACAATGCAATATCCCAAATATTCACATCTTAGTAGTCTGCTAATTACCAGACTCATTGCTTGAAGATGGAGGGATACTTAAGATTTCAGGGCTTGCCAATAACATGATAGGGAGATGCTGGAAATGGCCTGCAGGAGAACGTCATCATAGTGTCTCAAACACCTACTGAAGGAGCAGGTAAGATAGAAAGGTTCCTATTTTCTGAAATAAGAATCTGTATGTGTAGAACCACAGAAGTTGGGATCATCTGGATGAAGCCCTGGGATGATACTATGTGAAAGACTCCAGCAATTCTGCTCTGTGAAAGACTCCAGCCATTCTGCTCCAGACAGACAAGGATTTCCCATATGCCATTTAGCACTTGTCAGTCTGCATGTGAGGGTGATGGACTCCAGTGTGGGGCTGTCCCTCTTTTCCTCCCTTGCACAAAAAACCTCCAAAGTCATTAGGCAGCTTAGAGACACACTTGGGAGACTGAGCACATGCCATCTCTGACTACTTTGTGTCATGAGTTTCTAGGTGCCCAGCTGCTGGGATTTCTCAGGATCTGAATTCCCTTTCAGTCTTCAGCACAAAATCTGGCCATTACTACAGCACACAATAAAATCCTTGCAACAGTGGGTCATGCTCCATCCTTACACAGGTATCAGCCACACCAGGGAGTTGCCAGCTAATGAGCTTTAGTGATGAGCACTGCCCAGTGGAGATATCCAAGGCAGGTTTAGCTTTTTGTTAAAACTTCCACACAACAAACGAAATAAATCAGACCAAAATTCTTAACAAATCCTTCCCCCTCCAGGTATCTAAGACAGCCATCATTTCTTTCTTGCTTCTTGTAGCTTATCGCTTTGAGCTTTGAGCTCGGGTCTTCATCAGCGTGTTAGGAGCAGTTGTGAAAAGCACAATAGATTGGCAGAATGTTAAGGGAGAAACCACTAGAGTTTCCCAGGCAGTACCCACCTCCCAAGTCTCTGCTGAACCTCAAAGRTTCTCCTCACAAAGGCAATTTTGCCTGTGGCAGCTTTATCACCAGCACTTGACTAAGCAGAAGAAACAAAATTAACCACCAGGGCTCCACCTGCTGAAGCCTATGCTTTTCAAACACACATTTACAGCTCTCAGTGTCACGTTACAAGTTTCAGCTGAGCTCATTATTTTACAGTGGGCTCAGAACCAGTTAGGAGGAAGCTCTTCCTGTTATCCTCATCATTTGCTCATCATCAATAAAACCAACTCAAGGGGCAGGCTGGTAGCTCTCTGGTTAATGCTCTGCAGTGTAACAGAATTTCATGYCCCAACCACAGCAGCCAGGAGCAAGGCAAACATCAGAGCCTCGTAAATCTGAGGAGATCCATCCCTTCCGACTGCTTTGCACTGGTCCATGGGAGATAAGAAAGGAAAAGCAATTCGTGCACCATCACACAGTAAGTTAGGAGGATAACCAAGTGTGGTCTCTTGACTGCTCATCCCTGGAGCCCACAGCTTCCTAAGAAATACGTACTTACASCTTTAGTTACCTAAGTTTCGCATCCCCAGCATTTAAATGAGACTGGTTACTCACAGGTAAGATTAGAATTAGATTAGAAAAAGAATCTAATCTAATCACATCCCTGTTCTTTATGCCATGCAATTCAACCATAACATGTAAAGAGCACTGGGAATTCAGCACACAGTCCTGTTATCAAACACTGAGCAGAAAGAGCTCGTGCCAGAGCAACCCTTACAAACAAGGGGCTGCACTCCAGGCTCCTCCCAGGCAACACAGCATTTGATCAGCAAAAACTGCAACTGATTTCCCTCCTCACCAAGATATGCAACTGTAGTCAAGCTAGATACCATTTTCTTTAGAGATTTTAACAGCCAAAATTCAAGGTATTGGATTAATAGGTCTAGTGAGACATACAATAGGATCTACACCAACTGGTTTCAAAGCTATCCTAAGCTACTTCTACTTGAGTTACAGGGTATGAATTCAAGTTCATACCCTGGAAACAGAATCYGAGTTCCAGTATCTTTCATAATGTAAAGCACAGCCGACAGCTGCAGTGTACCAGCTTAACGCCTCAGGAAACCTTATTTATAAAATTTCAATATTCATTTATAAAATTTCAATTCAGTTCTGCACCAGTTACAGCCTGCTGATATGAAAAGGCAACCTTTACTGCAGTGACAACCCTGCATGTCTGGGGAAAGAAATCATCCCATACAGATGATTCAGAGCCGCAGATTTTCCCAAGCTCCCAATATAATGCATGATGTTTATGAGCATTAAAGCACAGCTGCAAAATCCTCTTAAAAGTCACCATCTTTGGCATCTATCTTTAGCTATCATTTTGGGAGACTCAACCTGAAAACTAGATACTAAAATCACAGAGAAAAAAATGTAAAAAGGGGATTTGCCTAGATGATCTCCAGCCTTAACGATTCTGCAATTAATCATTCTGTAAAAAGTAACTTGGGTCTCTTGTCTAAAAATAATGAAACACATCCTTCAAATACACCTTTAAGCCTAAGCTTTCCAGAAGTTATAAAAGCAGATAGCAGATTACTATCAGATTATTATTCAGATGGTTAAGTGTTGACAGAGCTTCGACGTGGAATTAGTCCAAAATGCTCCACTRGAGTGGACATGTCCATAGGCAGGTGTGGCACACTATCTTCCAGCTCTGATTAGCATCTTTAAATAAAAGGAAATCAAAAAGCAAACATGATTTTTACTTCACATAGCTCACTAAGGAGTTGGGGTGGAGTGAAGGAAGCACTTTGTAAAACCTGTTTGCTTTAAGCCACATTTGAATCTGCATCATAACAAAAGCATTGGCACTGAAAGGGGGTACTGCAGTGAACTGACCACGGTGCACAGGTTCAAAACTTGCAGAAGGAAACCAACAGCTGGAGATAGTTAGCTGAAGTTCATTTCATTTTCAGATAAGATTGTACTCAAGGCTCAAAGCTAAGAGTGTTACTTACTCACACAGAAGAATCCCGTTTTCTAATCCGGAACGAAAATCTTTCTCACCAAAACTTCTGCCTGTCACTTGCTGCAAAACAGTAAGGGGAAACAAGAGAGTGGCATCCATTAATAGGTGCATTCTTTTCAAAAGCTATTCTTAAGATTCAGTTAAAGCATCTACTGCAAAGGAAACATCTGAAGTTTACAGGGTAAATCCTGTCCATCAACTACTTTCCTCTCTCCCACCTCATTGAGCTGTTTAACACAAACACACATACACACACACACAAAAGCATTTGCCCTGACCAGTGCAACGTTACACAGTACATATTATAAGAGCAGTAAAACACAAAAACAAAACAATCCTTCACCCAAAGCCCACAACCTTTAGAATAACACTTTAAAAATATTTTAAAGTGTTTTAAAATTTTAGAATTAGTGCATTTAGACAAATTGTATACCTTTACTACCTTCTATTTTCCACTATGTGCAAAATATTTACTTTGGGTCTTCACTTGAACTTGAGAGCCTATTACAAAATAAGCAAGTGCAATGAGAAGCATTCGTATGAGTTATAGCCCTTCAGAAGTGCTCCCGGTTACAATAAATGACATTTCACACCATGGAGCCAAGGGTAAGCARGGATAGAAACCAAGGGGATGCTGCAACTGAAGCACCCACTGTCAACAGCCGGACAGGCACGTGTGGAGCAGGAGCAGCTGGTGATCAAGAGCTCCTCAGCCAGCCCCCCAGATGGACGGACCATCTAGGGACCTTCTAGGAATGTGAATCTTGCCTGGTGGTGCTGGCCACCTCAAGCACGACTGACCCTCTGCTCACGACTCACCATGGCTTCTGGCAATGCCCTGCTGCTCATCCTCAAATTGTTCCCCACTGATGAGGTGTTCAGTGAAAAGTAAAGAAYGTGTTTTATTAAAAACAACAAATACCTAAGAATAGTTACTGTGTATAGAAAGAGCTGAGCAGAAACAAATGAAACSGCCCAGATTTTAACTGCGCTCCAGGAGGTCTTCTCCTCAACTGGCCAAAATATTTACCAGAGGCGCACCAAGACCTCATGGCTCAGATCCAGTCCTTGAGCAAGACCCTTGCTCTGGGTGCTGCTCCACCACTGAGAGCAGTGACTTGGGGACACAGCTGTCCTTACGGACCTGTTTCCTACTTGCTGTTGCACTTGGACTCTTCCCCTCTCAGGTTCCTGTCACAAAGACAGGACAAGTTGGGTGCTTTCCCACAGGATTAATGACAGCACTAGCTTTACAAATGCCACTTAGAGCTCTATACAGTCTTAGATAATAACATTCTTTTTATTGAATTCAAGTGCAAATACAAATCCTAAAACCTAATCCAGTTCTTGACCATAAACATACTGATCCTCAACATGAAGGAATTTCTCCCTGCAAGCGGGTAGGACCTGTGTATAACTTTAACCTTCCTTCTGTATCCTTATAGYTGCTTCAAGGATACATATATTGACAACCACACATCTCACAAATGTAGAAAGCAGAATGATGTGTTGTGCTGCCCTCAAAGGTGCTATTTGYCAGTAGGAAAAGATCTCTAATCTTAATCTGTTGGGACAGAAGGTGGGCTATGCCCTGCTCCCTCAAAGGACAACAAGACTCTCCCAGCGGCTGAAGCTGTTTGCTGGCAGAACATTGAGTGCTGCCCTTCCTTGCAGAGCCCTCTCCGGCCCACCATATCTGACAGGCTTCCGAGACACAACTGCATCTGGCTGCAAACACCGTCGGCCCCTTGTCACAGGCGGGGACCAGCTCTTCTGGGCAGCACTGYACAAAGCCGGTGCCTGTACCTATCGATATACATACCCATTTCTTGCTCTAGTGTCACTACGTTGTAATTCTCTCTGGTGCAAGACATCTTAAAGGCAAAACAGAAGTAAAAAGCACTTCTCTAATGAGAGGGAAGCCTGTTTTTTTTTTCCATAACATACAGAAATTTAAAAATAGAGAACAGAAGCTCAGCCCAGTATAATTTATTTGTGATGCTTCATCYGCATGAGGAGGAATTGTTTTTATTCATCATCTGGATGATGTTTTCTCTTCTGTAAAAAAGCTGCGTCTCCAACCGGGCGATTATTTCAGGGCCGGACCTGTTCCTCCGTTTCCACTACCACTTAACAACGCAGAGAACTAAGCCTAAAAGGAATAATAAAGTTTTTCTGAAAGGAGCATTAGCAGACTAAACCGCAGCGCTCTGGCCCTCTATCACAAGCTTATGGCAAGGACTTTAATACATACTTACACACAGCAACATTTCTTACACACAATGTTGTTGCTGATTAACTCCTTTGTTCTCCGCAGTGACACATGCCATTAAATTTATGTCACCGAGCATGGCTGTCGTCCAGCCACTAACCAGGGCCATATTACACAACTCTATTTTCAGCTCCCATTGTTTTCCTTGCGTTTCGGGTTGCTGCTGATGCTTCACGAGATGCATCGCATGGGGCTTGCAAAGGCGCTTGTGTCAAAACTGCTTAAAGGCACGAGAAAGAAAAGGTGGCAAATCTGGAGCAGCCACAGGTGCTGTGGTGCAGGACACAGGTGTCCATTGGTGACATTTATCTCGGACTGCAAGACATAAAAGTTGAATAAACACTGTCTCATCAGGGACAAAGCTTTGAAAAGAGTTAGCTTTATTTTTCATGTGCAYGCTCGAAAGTAGCACGTAAAGCAGTGAACCAAAGAAACAGATCTCAGCAGGGACAGGTCTTTATTAGTCGTTATACCTTTTGGAGAGCTTGTGAAGCATGGCAGCAAAGACAGGCAGAAATAAAGATTTCAAAAACTTGCGTTCAATACACAAAATTGAATCCATTKAGTATGGATTCAGTTTTTCAATTTTGGACAATTAATTCCATCCATATGATTTTTTACTCAAAAAAAAAATCAAACATAAAATCCCACATTTATACCTAACCAGAAAAAAATACTGCTTTTACTTCAGGGAGATGTGAAAGTAAGGCTTAGACTGTAGTAATCACAGGGATGTACCCAAAAAGCACCCGATCATATAAGCAGGAGGCCACCCAAGGCACAAAGATGCGTGCCTTGTTGTTAGGCCACCAAGCTCAGGCCTCTCCAAAAGTAACAGATTCCTACTTCCCCCTTTCCAAAATTACACTTGGGYTACCAATGTGCATATGCATAATTAAATTCTGTTTTCGTGTAATATAGCCCATATATCCCACCACACCTGGCCGTGCCTCTCTTCCAGAGCAGCTCAGTGATGACAAGGGCTCTGTACAAAGCTCTGCAATGCAGCCCAGCACTGGGGCAACATACGATTAAATGAATAAAAAGATGAGCAGCTTATATTTCTCTGGTGTGAATTTCTATAATCAAGGACAAAAATAGCAGAGGCTCAGGATGACTCATGCGGCCAGCTCAGAACCAAGGCGAAACTCGGCATTATTGAGCTTGAACTTTTGAGGAATGCATGGGAGGAAAGGCAGAGATTTCACACTTGGGTAGCAATATTCATTTGCAAACAAAACACTTAAGAGTAATTTATTTTTAGAACTTTCACTTTTTGATTACACAAGTTTAATTGCAATTGGAAAAGCTAACTAGCCATGCTGAAGTCCTCTTGTGTTTCCTTTTCTTCTTGCTCTTTCACCCTTCCATTCTTTAAAATGTCAGGGAGCTTACCTATTCTTTCTTCACAGGAACCCTATTTTTTTTCTAGCAACAACAGAATAAACTATGCAATAGCATATTATTTTCTGTTCCCTTTAATACTCCCTTCTGCCTCCACCATGTTCTCAGTCAGCTTGGAAGAGTAATACCCTGGTGTCAACACACAGCACGTGAGAATGACACCGACCAGCACCAAACCCACCCCGAGTGCTTTTGGTGGACCAAGCTGTAGGTTCTCACTAAAGGAAGGATTGCTTTGCTATGGA